AAAAATATGTAACAAAAAAAAAAAAAGATAACCATGAACTGAACCTATAGGTTTTTAGGAATTGAGATAGTTATAAAATTAATTACTTCATGGTTATAAAAAACGACAATTAATAAGCAAAAACAAAGACACACTCAAACGACATATATTGCAAATCGGAGGGAGTATTACATTACCAAATAATTAGCAAACAGTTAGAGCTCTAACTACTGCCATATCTCTCCCCATAAAAGCTTCAGACAACTAAGTATTATCATACTTTCTCCACAACAACAATTTCATTATTCGGTAACAATCCTTGTTTTGTAAACTAAACATACATACGATCACTCGTCTAGTTCCATCATTCGACTCATCAATCGTCTTTCTTCCTAAACCTTCTACTTACAAAAACAAAGAGGCCAAGGTTAGGCAAACCTCAAAACATATCAGATTGTGTCTGCAGGTTTTTCATTGGTTTGAACTTTTCTAAACAATTTTTGTCTGAGTAGTGATGCATCTATTGTCTTTGTGTCTGCAGGTTTTTCATCGGTTTGAACTTTTCTAAACGATTTTTGTCTGAGTAATGATGCATCTGTTGTTTTTCTCTCATCTCGACTTGGGCTCACCAAGCCCTTCTCCACGACCCCAAACTTGGCAGTAGCTAATGGTGCAGTGCCTGCAGTTCTAGACGAGCCAGGTCTCTCTATGGTTAATGTGGCCGCGTCATCTCTTGAAGCATACCAAGTGTTGCCACAGGCCACGCACTCCAACTTTGAGTGCAACACCAGGGCAATTAAAATAAATAAATAAATAAATAAATAATAATAATAATAATAATAATAATAATAATAAATAAATAAAATAGACCGGTTATGAGTGTGTATTTCCTTTGGAACAAGAAGAATTTCCCGGTTGAAAGCTAGCAATTATTAATTATGTACGATTGAGTGTCACATTTATTTATTTCACAAATGGTTTTAATAAAAGAAAAATGAAAGTATCGAGTTAAGTTCTGCCAAACACGCGGAATTATTTTGATGTTTCTAACGGTAGGAAAATACATGTTCACATGAGCAATGAACTGAAGAATGAAGAATCAATATATTATTACCTGATAGCGGTCTCCAAGTCCAGTCTGAATAATATCTATCAAACCCACTTGTTTCTCTGTGCATCTTGTACATCGAGCATCAGTCATCTTTAGCCACAGCCCCCAGCAAGGGAAAAAAAAATCAAAAGTTTGAAATAAAATGATATTATTGAATAGCTACAATAAAAAAGTATAAGCCGAATGCGTGCTTATTTATTATATAATTTTATTTTTATTAATGAAATATGGAATACAAATACCCTACTAACCTGCAAGCGGCCCGACTCCTCTGGCTCCCGGCTTGCTATTTCTTCTGCAGTTAAGCCTTCCTGGGGAAAACAGAAGTCCAAGAATATTTAACAGAAACTTCCACTGATTTTCCATAAAATCCATAATTGTTGTAGACTTAAGCCGAGTTAAAAATAATTTGCATCTGCTGATAGCCCCTCCAAGAAACAGTTCAATCAAAGAAACAAATGTTCACATGAAACTGAATCCCCAAGGTCTTACTCTTTAGAACAAAAATGTTCTCAGAAAATATCCAAAATCTACCCAATGCTTGAAAAAAAATGGAATAATGTATAAAAACATACTGCAATATGATCCAAATGGAAATTTAAAAGCCAACACTGTTGTTTCGTGGAAAACACAGGTTCACTAAAAAAAAAAAACAGAAACCATGAAAAGTAACCCCCATGTGACAGATGTCAATGAGTAGACCTATAAATGGAGCTTCGAAATGCACTCAGAACATCTAGAAAGATTTAAAAAGTAAATTACCATAAATAAATGAAATGTGAAAAGAGAGTTCAAACAGCACCTTTAGCTCATTTGGCGACATATTCAGTATCTGATCAGGTACAAGATCCTTATTCAGAAGACGTCGTGTCAATGCGGCATTGCCCTGACAAGAATTTGCAAGTTTTATGTGAAATTTTAAGAGTAAATATTAAATAAAATACAACTAGAACATACAACCAGAACTAGGAGATTCAAAACTACCACAAAGCAGACCTAAAAATCATAGCAAGTCCCACAAATAACAATCAAAAGTCACGGACCAAAATACGACATTCCGAGGGAATTTTTTATTGTAACAATCAATACACAATTGCATGCACATATCTCCAATAAAAGCAAGTTTGGTTCACCTTAAGATTGAATGTTAACTGCCGCATCTTTTGGTTATACTTCTGAAAATCAGCAGAAAGTGCATCGTTCGCAGCTTTCTCAAGAGCAACAATGGGAGAAATAGCTCCACCTGGCCAATCAAATGATCCACCATCCTATATAATGAGAGGAGGAGCATCAAAGAACATTTTTTGCATCAACAATGAGCGTAACCCCAACACAACTTCACCAATCAGAAAATTTTCAAACACCCACTTACCTCCAAATTCTTACCATGAGATTCACTATCCGACCCGCCACACTTTTTGCCACCTGAACCAGCAGCTGCGCACAAGAACCGAACAGATTGGAGAAGCTTCTCTAGCCATCTGTCACGCTGCGCCTCCCCAGTCAGCAGCTTAAAATCCGAAAGAATGCCATAATACTCCGTAGTTTCCATCTTAAGCGATTGAGATCTGGTAAGTCCTTCGAAATTCTCCCTCGAAACATCCCGAGGGCTCACCACATTCCTTCTCCCTAGACAAGAAACAAGTCTCCTATTCTTTAGCCGGTCTTCCGGGTCTGTGCCCTCAGGCTCGGGAAACCGGTCCTGAAGGGTTCCGAGCCGAGCAAGGGTCTTCTTGACGAGAAGGTCGATCTCGTGCTGCTTGTCCTCCTCATAGTCTTTGTCCGTCAGCTTGAAGAGCATCCTCTGTTCAGTGTCGTAAACCTGCTGCACGATGAAGCCCGGGTGCTGCTGGCGGTGTGGGACCCGCTTGTTGAGGGGAATGAAGTGGACCACGCACTTGTGGAATATGGACTCTGCTGGCACCTCGTCCCTGTGGAAGCTGTAAAACAGCTCCCTCGTGTCGCGTGGGTCCCAGCACCCACCTCCCTTTTTCTTGGCCTCTTCTGGACGGTAAAACCACTGTCCGGTTATCATAAGTCCCCCTTGCCACGTTTGAGCAATGTCCTGGCACACTAATGGCTTTGTCACACAACTTTGTTTGTGCTCAACAAACACGAACTCAGGCGAAAGGAAGAGTGTTTTTACCTTAATTATGGCCACATAAGGCTTTTGGTTCTGGTTCTCGGTATGGAAAAGAGCCGGATCCTCCTGCGAACAAGATGGAACTAATCTGTGAATGCAAAAAGCCAATCATCGGATAGATGTATGAACATATTGCAATTGATGCGGTTGTTGTTCGTTCAACCCCAGGTGTTGCTGGTCAGGTTAGATGATACTATTGACAGTAATATGCCATTTTTGAGGTTAGATGAATAGATGATAAATTGAGGTTAGGAGGGTGAAAATAATCAGATTATCCAAACAAATAACAAAAATCTCGGAGTCTCAGCAATAAACTAAAAAATCCTGAACAAAGTAAATAGATAAATAATTGGTACGAAACATAATTAAACAAAGATTAATTGATTAATTAATTACTACTAGAGAGACATTTATACCATTCTTAAAAAAAACATAAAAAATTCCTTCCTACTCTTCTTCAATTTTTCATTTCAGTAAACATCAGTAAGGTAACAACATCCGTGAACATTAAACCAGCAGCATTTTCCTCAACAAAGTGAGGGAAAATAAATCCAATCATCACGATCAGAAGCGGAAAATCAAAAACATCAAGTAATCAACAAACGATCGACGACGCAGATGACTCTAATAACCACAAAATCGAAAGCAAACTAGAATGACTCACGAGGCTGTACAGGTGACCGTTGTACTCGAACGACTCGTAATGCGTCCTCCTACCCTTTCCTTTCCCAGAAACCCTAACCACCGCGCCCATCGGCTGCGGCTCCACGTTCTCCGCCGGCGGCATCGTCTCCGCCTCTTCGTTCTTCCTCCTCCTCTTCTTCTGCTCGGTCAACTTAGCTCCCTCCTCCTGTTCCTCCTCCTCATCATCATCCTCCTCCTCTTCTGGCAAGCGCACGAGCCTGCGTTTCCGTCGGTTCGGGTTCGGAGCTCCGCCGGACCTGGTTCCGGTCGGCGACGGCGGATCGTCGTCGGTGGTCGGAGCTTGTGCAAAACGACGTTGACGCATGTTTTGTTTGTTTAGGTGGGGGAGGTGTGAGAGAGAGAGTGATTAAGTGTGTGTGAGGTCCACCAAAGTAAACATTCTCGGGGTTCGGGATTTGGTAAGCACTGACGTAGGTTTCACCAATCCCATTCAGAATCAACGCACGAGTTTCACTGGAATCAAACCTTTGGCAGCGTGTTAATAATTGAAGAAGAGAGGTTAATAAATTATTTGTGAAAACTTTTAAAGAATGATGAGTCAACCTATTTCACTTACTACTTATGACAATTTTAAAAAAAAATCAAAGATCTTTTACCAGCCGATTGTTATCTTCTTTTTTAAAAATCGTATTATTTGTTAGATTCATTTTTTGTTATTATATTAGCATGATCTCATTCCATAATAGCTAAAAAATCACTCCTCACGCGCATGGAGTCAATTGCCTTCCTTTTTTTTCGAAATTGATTTGTATATAAAGTTTCATAAAATCTGATTCCATTGGTTTATATATTAACAATAATTATCTAAGCCAGATCAAAAAAATCATACTTTAATTGATTATATTAAGTATAATTAAAAGAAATCCTTTAGTTTTTCAATTTTTTTATACATTAAATCATCAAAAAATAAAAATTCGTTGATCGATTTTGTTATAATAAGTACTTATATATATTATATAAGCAGAAGAAATTATTATGTTTAAAAACATAATAATTTATATGCAAATATCTATGCTATGCAGTAACTCATGTTGGTATGGAGTTATCGAATTGCAAAATCAATTGATTAATTTTAAATTTTTAGAAATTAATATGTTTATTATTTTTATAAACATCCATAATGTAATAAATAATTAACTTATATTTAGATATATAATTTATAATCTTAATATATTGTAATTTGTTATAATCATTTACTACATGAATCATAAATATTTTTTTAATTCGTATAGTTACATATATTTATGGAAAATAAAAAAATTTCATTTGATAAACCAGGTGATTGAATTAGCTTAATTCTCACTATGAGTTGATATTTAAAATAGTACAAAAACATGACACAACTAAGGTTGATCCCGAGTGACCGAGTTATAGGTTAATGACACAACTGAGGTTGATCTCAGGTGACCAAGTTATGGGTCAGTTTGACAAGACGAAATCGATTATTGAACTAAATATAACTAAATGTAATGTAGTTCATATTCCAAATAATCATATTAAGTTGCTTTTATCACAACATGCTCAATGATTTATGAACAATTATATATTATTTTATTAATATTTATGTGAACAAAATATATAATTAATATTTATGTGAACAAAATGATAATGCAGTACAACTTTATTAATGCACGGTAAATAAAAGTTATTAGAAAATGATCGTTTTCAAACTGATCAAGTTAATTATTCAATGGTTTATTAGTTACATCAGAATTTAATTTTTTAATATTTTAATATATATAGTACTTTTTATAATAAATTTATTAAAAAGTATTAATTAAATATCTCACAATTTAAAAATTTTCAATGGTCAAACTAAATGATAAATAATCTATATATTTTTATTTTACTTAATAATTTATTTTTTATTTACAAAAAAAAAATAGTTTAAAATGTAACAAAAATTATTTAAAGAATCGCACCGATACAACCAGTCTGACCGACTGGTGTTGACCAGTTCTCTTGCAAATATTTTATTCAAGCGAATAAACTGGTTTCCGGTCCACACAGTCAGACTGTTCGGTCCAGTCCAACTTTAAAGACAATGTGTAAATCAAAATTAATGTTATTTATATATTAAATTCATAATATAATTGTAATATTGTTTCCCGTGCATCGCACGAGCCACATACTAGTTAAAATAATTAAATAAACGAAAAATTTCACCTCGCAGCAACTTTGGTTTTTTTTTTTCTAAAAAAAAATTTGAAGCTTTGTCACTATATTTTCTACCAAAATAACATGCGTTATTTATTTTGATAACACGAAGCACGTGGCTCGGATCAACAAATAAAAAAGTGAATACTTTTGGCGTGTAAATTTAAGTATTTGATGTCATGAATAAAATTATATAAAAATAATNCAGCCGGCAATGCTGGCTGCCCGAACCTTAGGCGGCCGCCATCGCTGGGCGGTCGGCAACGTTGGCCGGCAGCGCGCTTTGCGGCTGGCTTCGGCAACCGACCGACCCCTTTTGTCTTTTTTTTTTTCAATAATTAAAAATTATTTAAATATGTTTAAATATTTAAAAATATAATTGAATTAATCTTTTTGGTTTAGGTTAAATTTTGATTTAGTAGTTATTAATAATATGTTATTTATAAATAATAAATTATTTGGAAGATTTCAAATACATGTTAGATGTTTTTTAGTTATTATTTTGAAGGATTTTAAATGACTCCTCAAACTTAGTCATTTGAAATCTACTATTTATCACTGTTGACGACCACGCCGTCTGCGACCATTTAGGTTCATCACCACCGCAAGTCAACACCAGACAATTGATTTATAATATTTTCAACACATCCATTCAAGGAGTGTGCAAGTAAAAAAATATATATTTCAAAAATTTTGAAATTAAGTGATTTCAAATCCCTCAAAACAAACGGAGCCCAATAGTTTTAGGAAAAAGCTATTTGTACAACATTTTTTTACAACATTCAATGACAACATGATGTGGCATGATGTGAGTTGTTGAGATGCAAATAAATGTATGGTTGAGATTTGAGTTAATAATATTTTAATTAAGTTGTCAACCAATTTTGTAAACTACAATTGTACATGTAGCATTGTCCATAGTTTTAACCTGCCTAATGAATGATTATATCTCGTATGACTTGTCCAAACATGAGTCAAAGACCAAACATTTGTGAATCCACCAATCTTTGAATTAGTTAAACTCAAATTCGAGTTATATAAATTCAAATTTCCCACATTTTAACTTTAAAATTAATTTCTCATTAAATCTAGAACGATATTGAGATTTAGTCTAAGTTTTTCACTTACAGAAAATTCCTTAAAATGGATACCAAAACATTTTCTTTTACATAACAAACTATACAAAATTCTTGAGATAATAGTGCATCATATTTCAAATGTATATTAGATAATAAACGCGAGACTAGAGAGTAGAGATATAACAATTAATCAACTATATTTTTCCAAAACTAAACACATAATTCATACCGATATGTGATATTTACATTATCTCATTAAATGTAAATTACCTTTATGCAAATCAATGTCACGTATCCCCACCGATCTCAAATTTATGAATTAGGTAAATCAGATAAGCACAATAATAGAATCTCATTTCATATTATAGGTAAAATTTATTTAACCCATTCTTATCTGTTGTTATTGTAATCTCCCCTTTAATACTCTTCACCAGATTTTTTCGAAACAAACACGATCTTATTATCGTAACGCGATTACAGAAAACCAAACCATGAGACACGTGTGCGAAACTGATTGGCTACCTTCTATATCTCGCACTGGATTATAGGCGGTTAGAGGATTAAAGTGATTTTTGGCCGTCGATTTTGGCCTTTACACCACGTGGATAAAAAGCAGCGGAAAGCTGTGGTGCACCGCGTCGCACTGAATTCATCGTCTCAGTTTAAAGCCTCGCTCAAGCTCTCAAACCTCTCAAACTAAAGTGTGTTCATTTTCGCATTTTAATGTGATATAAAAAAATATAAATTAATAACAAAAAATCGTTTTTTTGAACAGACGAGAGACGTTACGTCTTCTTCACCGGCGCGGCGTCGGTCGGAGAATTCGGCTCGGAACGACAGTTTTTCAGGCGTAGGTAGAAATTTCGTTCGAGCTGCATATGGGTGATAATATTCCTTTTTTTTTTTTCTTTCGCAATGCTACTGCGTTTTCCTAGGGTTATCAACTTCATCGTGATCAAATCTAGCTGATTACCAATTCTTATTATCTATTGGTTCATTGCATGTGTGTGTTTTCAATGTGCGATTGAAGAGAAATTTTACAGATTTTAGATACTTTGTATGGTTTTAGAATGCTGCAGGGTGACTGTGTTTTTCCAGATTAAAAAAATGGTCATGTATTTGAATTGTTAATCTCTGAATTAAGTATTTTATCTCGGTTGCTTGAATTAAGCGCTTATGTTATCTGAGATTGTGATTGTCTCTTTGTTGCATGTGCAGGCTAAATTGATGATCAGTCTATAATTAGCATTTACCTTTTGTCTTCATTTTGTTTTTGACAGGGAGTTCATTCGTAAGTTGACTTGGATATCTTCATTTGAAGATTAACGAGTACAATGGTGAATCTCTTATTCAGATTTTGTTAAAACTGGTTGCTTTTTACTAAAGGGGCTTTATTTGACTGGTTGACTTTTCTTGCTCTGTTAAATATATTTTATTTTATGTGACACCTTCTCAGAGTTACATTACTTAGAATATTTATTCATGATGTTGAGGTACATTATTCTGCAGTTTTTTTAACCATGATTGGTGAATTGAGACGCTATCATTGTATCCTGCCGCATCACTTGCTTTGAAGTTTGATGTTTTCTCTTCGTTGCCCTTCGCCCTTTGTTGACTTGTGAGAAAATACTTTGTTTTTTTGTTATGTTCTTTCAAATTCTGACCTCTAGTTGTGGAATGTGTTCACGTATATTGTTTTCACACTTTTGTGACTCATCTTGACCAGAGATTTACATTATTCGACATTCTTTAATGTGTTTGATATTACAGTGCTGATTTCTTTTAAATCCGTTATGGTATACTGATACGGCTTGCTTTTCATGTGTGTTTCCTTGGTCATGTATCTTTATGTAGATGTAGATGTACTCATGTTTTATGCTGGGGGAACCTTTTTAAGAATAACTATGACTCTGTGAACTGTGAGATTTATTATTTATAATTTTATTGTGAATTAATTATTATAATTGATGTGAAAGATCAACTCTTAAGTTAGTTCTTCTTCCAGCTCTAATTCGGTTCCCCAGTGTTTAGGTCTAATATAACCATCTACCATCCTTAACTTTTGATTATTTATGCGTGTGATCTCTCTGTGAATATAGCAGTAATTGGTCGTTTCATTCTAGCCAAGGGTTATGGTGTTCTCAAGTAACAAGCTGTAATGTGTCAGTAAAAGATGAAAAATGATTGGCGAACAGGAGTAGATCTGCCATGATTTCAGTAAGATTTACTTGTTCCTATGCAGTTAGGTGCAAATACAAAGTAGCCTTTCAGATAATACTGTTCTTTTATGTTTGGCAATGTCTCTTTAAGATTTATTTCTGCAAAACAAACGTGAAAAATAGACCAATGCAATAAGAAAAATAGACCAATGCAATAAGAAAAGAAAACTTTGTAATGTCTTGCAGAAATGATGTGTGCTGTTCATAGGCATGATTCTCAACAGTACATGCATATTCGATTATAGAAGATGTAAAATTACATGCAGGCCAACACTAAAAAACAAGTAAATAATTTATGGTATGTTACATTGATCAAGATCTTTTATCAGAGGGTGGACTAGGTCACTGGTTGATTAAGCTATTACTATAGAGTTATCAAAGATATAAAGCATTTGCTGAAAATTATGATTACTAGGGGTCTTCATTGCAGTGATTATGTTCAAGTCTTGTAGTGGTACTTTATTGGCATTATTAACTTGATTCCTTCTGCGTAGCAATTTGTACACATTAGCTTACATCCTTTTTGTTCTTATGGACATGATTGACTGCAGTGAGGTTCATGCTGGGCAATCATATTCTTCATTTTGTTTTGATTCCTTCTCGTGAAGCCCCTGGTTAATTTTTTTCCCTTACATAGATTTATAAACTTGTTGATCTATGAGGGTTTTCTTTTCTTCTCGAAATTACATTTACATGATGATAAAACCTTTGCTTGCCCGTTATCTTTTGTTATTCCCTATTCTCTCTATTTCACATTTTCCTCATTTAGATCTTGTTATATTCTTTCATATCCATGACCTTACTTTAGTATTTATTTCGTCCATTAACGGTTCTATGCCTCATCGAATACTTATCTGACGAAAATAAATCTCGCGCTTAGATCCATTGTAAATATTAATCCATCTGCAGTCTTGCTTTGTATCTACTGCTCATGTGGTGATTACTTTTCAATTTATCCTAAATGTACTAATGCTCACATGTTACTGTTACTCTTTCACAGAACAACAGCTTTCAGTTGTCCAGTGGCTCTGGTTCCCTGACTTCTGGGGACATGTCTTACGATAAGTATACTCGAATAGATCACAAGCGTGGTCATCAGTGGTTTATAGGTAATTCTGAGCAAGAGCTATTTTCTAATAAGAAGCAAGCAGTAGAATCCATTCACGAAATTCAAACCCCGGCATCCACAGCTTTGTCCGGTTCCTTTTTGCACGGTGGTTCAAGCTCTTGGTCGGGAAGTCAAAGAGTTGACTATTACCCTTATGGTCCTAAGCCTGTCCCGAGTCCAATCTTTGCTGACAATAATAATTCCCCTGATAACCCTGCCTCTATCAACATGGAAAAGACGAGTTTCGAGAACCGATTCAAAAACGATTCATTAATTAGTCAAAGCATGTCTCAGGCAGCAGAAGATCCTCAGTTTCACAACACCGGTCTTCGAAAAGTCAGAGTCAACGAGGTCACTGCCCCACAGAATAGCTCACCCGAGCCCTTATCGAGCAGTATCTTCGTCCCTGTGGAGAGCAACAAAAATATAATGGGTAGCTACTATCTGAGGTCCGGTAACAATTACATTGGTTCTGGGCTTACTTACAACTCCCTACTGTATAATCCTGCCTCCAGCAAGACAAACGGCAATTTCACGCTGAACAATCACTACTACAACGGGATTAATAACAGCATGCTATCCATTGGACAGACATTTGACCAAGGGAGTTACTATCACTCGTTGGGCCATTATGGAAAGGAGAATGCCAAATTCATGTCCGCCGGCCCTTTTGACGGCAAGATCCCGGATAATTTCTTCACCATAGACCCATTCTACGCGAAAACAAACGAAACGTTCATGCCCACCGGTTTTGTTCAGGATGAAGACAATGCAGCCATCCCATACAGTGATGAGACCCCTGATCTCCCATCAATGGTCGAGAACTCTGACAAAGGAAAACAGAGTAAGGCCATATCCGTTGCAGGTTTTGTGGGTCCTGAGGAGAGGGGCTTCATGTGCAGTAGCTATGGTGTTCTGCCTAATCATCACTCTTCTGCTCAGTCCATGGAGGCATCAAGAGAAAAAGATGCTGAAGTGCAACAAAATTGTAATGTGAACCAAGGGGCCACCTCAAAGGGTGATGGAGCCAAAAAGATTAAGGATGGGAAGGCTAAAAAAGAGTCGTCTAGCAATTTTCCTTCGAACGTGAAAAGCTTGTTGTCGACGGGAATATTTGATGGGGTCCCAGTGAAGTATGTTTCTTGGACGAGAGAGGTGAATTGACTTATTGACATATACTCTTAGTTCTTTTTTCTCTCTTTGGGTAGTAAGAGGGAAAAAAATAATAATAATTGATCTGGGTATGTTTTCCTTTTGCCAGAAAAGCCTTAGAGGGGTGGTAAAGGGATCTGGTTACTTGTGCAGCTGCGAGGAATGCAAGCTTTCCAAGGTTCAACATTTTTATTTATATTTTTTTGGGTTCTTTTTCGTTTTACTTAAATATCAATATTTTGTAGTTCATAATTCTTTGAGGTGAGATAAGCTTCTCTTCTTATATTGTGGTTTTTCAACTTGTTGGCGTGCAGGCTATTAATGCTTATGAGTTTGAGCGTCATGCTGGAGGCAAAACCAAGCACCCGAATAACCATATCTACTTTGAAAACGGGAAGACTGTATACGCTGTGGTCCTGGAACTGAAAGCTACCCCTCAGGAAAAGCTTTTTGAAGTGATACAAAACGTTACTGGCTCTGTTGTCAACCACCAAAATTTCACTACTTGGAAAGGTGACTTCATCTATTTTGTTGTTGCCCATTATCTATTGAAGAATATGGTTTTGGGTTAACTATTTCCGCAGATGCTGCTCAACACGTTTCATCAGGTTATTCAATTGCCCCATTTTGAAATTAAAAAATAAAAATAAAAACCTGAATTATCTAATACTTTTACTAGTGTAGTCTTTAAAGTGCATGCAATGCACGTGCGCGTGATTTTACACCATGTGTACAATAGCGCAAAATAAACGGGCAAATAATTTTTTTTTTTTCTTTTTCAAATTGCACGAGAAGAATATTTTTATACTAATTTCTAACCCATCTTTTTTTATTTATCTATTTATTTATTTTTACTGTCAGCATCCTATCAAGCTGCAACCCGTGAACTTCAGCGTATATATGGGAAAGATGAAGTTGCTGTGTCATCTTGATGGGTGGTGACATCTCGTATTTTGTAAAGTTTAACTGGTAACTCTTTTTTGTCTGGGTCGTGGAAAAATGTGGCTCTTGTTTTGATTTGTAATGTTGATGTTAAATGTATTAAAATTGTTTTCGAAACAGCTCTGTTTTATACATTTTGTGTGCTGGGTAGGGCCTACGGCTGTTTTTTGGCGCGACAGTGAAGGCATCACTTGTGAAATATATTTATGTATGTTTTAGGTTGATGCAATATTAAAATTGTATAATGATGTAAATGATTGATAGTAAAAAAATATGAATTATTGAATAGTAACAACAATGTTTTGTATATATCCCTCCCAATTACAATTACCGTTGCTCCGGCTGCCGGTGCAATTTTCACTCCATGATAGCATATGATATAATCACAATTGATTAGGCCACTCAAACTCTTATTATTATTGAACAAACAAAAACATGTTAAACTGGTTGTTTTACATGTTGTCATTATGAGATATAGATGGACTAACATCAAACCTAAAGGTACAGAAACACGTAAAATATTGTTTGCAAAAATGAGTTAAGACATTGATATCCCAATTAAAAGACGACAAGAACGTGTTGACCGTCTCGACTGCAAGGGTCAGCACGACCCCTGCAAATCCCCCGACATGCATATTAGGCTCGTTTTGCAAAAGTCCGACCGGGTAAATTTCAATGTGCTCGCCTATATTTAACCATTGAATTAAATTACAGTTTGTACTTAATTTACTAATTTTCACTCATTGTAAAAAAGAAAAGGGGAAAAATGTTATGGGACACACTTGTACAACACCGACATCATCTATAAACGGGTATATGCCACAAGAGTTTATATTTGTTACATTATTTTTCATATTTGATTAATTGCATGGACGAGCTATGAAATGTGATAGAAATTAAAGATAGAATACTTCAGCTAGTTGAAGTCTCTCCTTGTTATCATCAACGTTCTGTCAGTGACTAATTATAATTTAAGGAGTTTAAATGGCTTGTCTTTGAAATATTCACCTACTCCATAATTCATATTAAAAGTTTTTCTTCTGTATTTAAATATGGCTTTTTTTGGTTGTTGGAATTATTTCTCTCATTTAAATGGGCATTATAGTCACTTAAATATGATGCACACAAAAATTTCAAATGCCTCTTTTAGTAGGTAGATTGCATAAATGCATGGACATCATGACATGGAGTTTGAGTACATTTCATAATGATAAGGAATTTCATGATAAATGAAGAAATNTTAATCCACCATATCCTAGTAATGATAAAACATTTTATTTCACCTTTTATGTTAATTAAGACAAAAACCGTTACATTTTATATCAATTGAGTAATATCTATATTTTTTATTGTATCATATAATAGTTATTATTAAAATTAATAATTATATTTTACAGTAAATGATATATGAAAGTTACATAAACATAAAAAATTATATTGTAAAATTTTTCTTCAAGTTCTCTATTCTAAATCATATTATATTTTTTTATCTAATTAAGCGATTCTTTTTAAAATAAATTAATTTGTTTTTATGGCATAATGACATTTCTTAAAATTGCATAAGCAATTGTTATAATAAATTTAATACTTTCAGCTAATTAATTAGTCATGATCCCTCAAAATTACAAATATTACATTATTATTATTATTATTATTTTTATTGGAACGACAAAAATTACATTATATATTATATTTTATGCAATATGCAATCAAATCGTTATGTACTATTTATTTTAACCAATGATCAAATTTTAAAACATAATACCGTTATCTACTTCTAATTTTAATATTATATGCATAAATATAATTTAATACTCTATGTTTAAAATATAATATCATTATCTAGCTTATAATTTCTATATTATATGTATAAAAATAACTTATAATACTTTATTTACATTTCTACAAATTCACATGATCAAATACTAATAATATTTATAAAACAACAAAAATTTTGGTTACTTTAATGATGAACGGTCCTTTGATTTAAAACCAATTAATAGATAATGTTGATGTTAGGCCGTGATAACGTGAAAACAACCATAATTTCTATTAGATATTTATACTTTACAGCTAAATTGCATTTTTAGCCTCCTGATTTAATGCTATAGAATTGTTGTTCCTAAAATTCTAAAAAATCGTTTTTTGTCATGTGATTTAATATTTACACTGAAATTGCAACATTTAAATTATAAGAATGAAATTGCAACAATTATAGGACCCAAATTGCTAATAAAAAATCTATAAATTTTGAAATTTATAGCAATTCCAGTTCTCAAATGACTACAATTGCAGCAAAATATTAAATCATAGTACTAAAGGTCAAAAAGTGAAAACCTTAAAATTAAAATTGTTATAGAGTTAAACCAGCAGGACTTAAAATGTATTTTTGCCATACATTAATACTCAAATTTCATTTTTNAAATAGATAGCATAGAGAAAAGTATAATTTAAATGGAGGAATGAATATTGTAATGAGTAACCCAACTAACTAAAGACACGAGTCCGGGAGTCCCCCAAAGTTAAAGTTAGGAAGCCTTTACCTTGTCTTCCCACATATACTTTACATGAAAAATGGCAACATTTATATATATGAAGATTCTGAGTCAAAGAGCATTGTATTTTCTTGTGGACATTAACAGAGATACTCTGTACAAGTGACCTCTGTGTCTCTTTATCCTCTTTTGGCTGCTGCCCAAATGAATGAATGAAGGTAAAACCAAAACAAAAACAATAAAAAAATCAGAAAAACCAAAAAAATGTTTTGATTTTGGAAAAAGGGCATGCACGTTCTCTTTCTGTTCATTTCATCATCTTTTTACTATTTGGTGGGCTAGCCCTTTATTTTGCTTTTCACTCTTGTTTTGTCATCTTCATCTCTTTTTACTTTTTAAAAAATTCTGATAGTATGTGACTGCTTTCAGTTGCTTTTGTTTTCTTTCATAGAATGTGAATTCTTGANGAAAGAACAAATGATTGGCTTTATTGGCCAAATTTTGTTGGGCTTTCTTTCTTTTGCTTCACTTCTTATGAGATCTGAGGTGGGTCACACGGCCGTTTTCCGCTGGAAATTGCACTCTCATTAGCTTGGAATACAAGTGTAAGTGAAAAAATAAAGTTCTTCCCTTTTCTCTTTCTCATGATTATTAGTTTGCTTATTCTTTTTTGTGAAAATTTCATTTGAATCTTGATCAGAAGGCTCTGTGTAAGACTTCAGAATTATTAATAGGGCCCATGCATTTGTTGGCATTAAAGTGGTATAAGATCTTGAAATGTATGTAAAATCAATTTATCTTGATCAATGATCAGCTATCATCCTCTTGGTTGTCTTGAAGACATGAGTATGGTTTGCTTGCATCATTTAATTGTACTTAGCTGTAATTCTGAATTCGATTTATTTCGTCTATTTGTCTCGAATTTTGTGTTATTACAGTTGTTTCTCGTGATCTGATTCTATGCATTTGTCACTAAGGACTCCTAAGTTGATTGATTGTGGGAAGACTAACATAGGGAGAAATGAATTCTTATTAGTGAAATCGCATAATGTCGGTTTTTCAATTCGTTATGCTCTTTGAGTTTGTGTGATTGTGGTTCTGCACTTGGTTTCTATGCAAATGTTCATTAATTAATTCTCATGCATTCAAGAACATATACATTATTTCATATATATGTTTGCTCTGCAAAAAAGTTGTTTTACCTCCAAACTTTTGTTCGATAAAATTCTTAACAAGTGCACCTCACGAGCTTTACTCGAATTTTCTTGTAGATAGACATGGATTTAGATTTCGACAAGTACTGTCTTGTAGATAGACAAAGCCCAACAACTGTAGTATCAAAAACTACGATTAAAGGGACTTCAGTTGAAAGGAAGAAAATCGAGCTCTCACAAGCAAATGCACCTAGCTTCTCTTTTGAAATTATTGATTCCTTATGCACTTCTGATGAAGATGGGCCAATAATAACTTCACTCTCGGGAAAAGAGACTTCAGTTTGTAGCCATAATATAGATTCGGGCTTGTGGGCTTCCATGGTTCCAACCGAATCAGTTAGTGGGCCCGTAAACTCTTCAAACGGGCACAAGTCACGTTTTAAACCCGTCAAAAAGATTTTCGACCCATTTGTTAAATCCAAGCTGCGAAGAAGCTCGTCGAGTAATTCAAACGAAAGAACAAATAATGAGAAAGAGAATATGCAGTCTTCTTCTTCTTCTATAGCCCACTTGCATGGCCTTCTCAAGCTCGGGAAAAGGCGTGGGGTCCCGTTTTTTGAGTTTTCGGTTAAGTCAATGCCCGAAGATTTTTACTTGGCCAAGATTAAACGAGCGGAAAACGGTTTATTCGATTGGTTTTACACGTTCCATTCCCTTCACAAGGGAGGAAAGACGAGTCGTAAACTTACCATTAAAGATGGAAATCGAGCATTATCGTCTAATATGTTGGGTCATATGCACGTCTCGTGCAATCCGTGCGAAAATTCCGAGTTTGTGTTATACGAGAGCAAGAATAATAATAATAATTCATCTCGGTTCAAATCGCCCGAGCTAGAAATCTTGGCCGTCGTCGTGAAGGTCCCTTTGGCCAAAAAAACAGAGGAGGGCATTCTCGTAATTTCGCATCCTCCGGCCGAGACTCATGTCGTGGTGCCAGCTGGGGCCCACGGCTCGCCAGCTGGCGGCGGCCGGCCTTCTCGATTGATCGATCGGTGGAGGCGAGGTGGCGAGTGCGACTGTGGCGGGTGGGACATGTCGTGTCCTATCGACATTTTTAGCTGTCCGAACATTAATGTCGAGAATGCTGACGTGGCGGACGGTCGAAATATTATTCCGACGAAACTATTCTTTGAGGGTAAAAAGGACAATTTACCGGCGTTCGACATGAAGGTAATAACAGGGGAAGAAGGGAAGTTGTACCAAGTCGATTTTCACGCGCGGTTATCTTCGTTGCAAGCTTTCGCGATTTGTGTGGCCATATTACATGCGGAAGCCGAGGCCTCGGGAAGAAAGATGGGCGGCGGACAGGTGTCGCGATCCGATTCGCTGAGGATAGTATATGATAAAGAGGACACAGAAGAAGAAGAAGATTGTGAAGATAAATTAATTGAACAATTTGAGTTGCCATCTTTTGTGCTCAATCCACCATTTTCACCGATTGCTCGAGTTTAGTCGTGCCGGATAAATGAGCGGGAAAATTGTCAGATAGGTGTAATTCGAAAAATAAATAATGAATGTGATTGTGAAAGTTTTTTTTTTTTAAAAAAAAATAAAAANATATTGGTATAGATATACTAATCTTCCTTGGAATTACTGGGGACTAAACAGAAATAAGAACACAACAAAACAAAAATGAATTAATTGAACAAACAAAATACTAAAATAGTAAATTTCTATAAGTGGGGGAAACATAATACTTTACTGGAATAAATGTTTTGTGTGTGTTTTTTTCTCTTTGGATGTAATTGTCCAACATGACCTACATGTAAAGGTGTATAAAATAAAATGTTATATATTTGTAGATTATTTTATAAGTGAGAAATATTGAATGAATTTCAAAAGCTTTATTATTGTAAACTGGTGTGTGTTAAACTCTTGATCTATCAACAAAATATTTATCACATGGATTTATTTAGTGTATTTCTTTATTTGTTCTCTCTCAACTACTAACTTTGTCATTTGTACTAACAATTCATGGAGGATGTGTGAAGTTCAAATTGCTTGCACCTTATTCACTTGCTTGAGTCATTTTGAAGGAACTTGTTTTCCCCTAGAAAATAAGTTTCCAACTACATGTTCATTACTTTAAAACCTTTTAATTCTTTGAATAAGTTTTTACATATAAATTTTATCATTTGTGAACCAAAGGTCAAATAGAAATTTATGATCACATGTATGTAGTTTATCCAGAATAGAATACTACACTACAGGTGTATTCGTTTAGAATTTTTTTAAAGTTTTTAGCATGGGAACCGGTCGAACCGGTGAAACTACTGGTTCAATAGTTTATTGGTCTGACCAGCGGTCGAACCGATTGAAATGGTTTAATTAATATATAGTTGTTTATTTATTTTATATGTATAATATATAACTATATATATTTTTATCATTAATGTTATAGTGTATGACATTTCTATAAATAATAGCTCAATAATAGACACAACCAACGATGTTGAATAATGTTGATAAGTTTTTTTTTTATTTATCTTTTATATTTAAAATTTTAATCTTATTTTATTTTAATATTTAAAACTTTAATCTAAATTTAAGTTACGAAATAGAGAATAGAAACAACATTATTTTCATTTTAAATCACATTTAATATTTTTTATTATTGATTAAAAAAATAAAAAAATAAAAATAATGTGCATAACAAACAACAATAATTTTTTTTTTTTAAATAACTTGAAATAAATATAGCCCAATAGATAGTCCAATTTACAAAATAGTACATTTTTTTTAACGAATACAATTTTGCTTGTAAGACCCAAATATTGACCCAATAATTTTAGCGAGGGAACATATCCCACATTGGAAACACAAGTAAAAAATGTGTGTTATTTAAATTACTTCACAATCAACCAAATTCAAATTCAAAAGCTTGAACCTTTGAACTATTCGAACCGATCCCGGTTCATCCGTTCAATTGGTTTTGGACCGATTCTCATGCTGGGCGGTTAGATGCAGCAAATCAGATCAGAATGAAGATCGGTTTGTGGTCCAATTTAGTTTTCAGAACCATGGTTTTTTAGATATTTAAAATCTTGTTGTTTTTAAATAAGATTCTCTTAAATTTATAAAAGTCTAGATTATGCTGTAAAATTGTAGAGATTATAACTCTATATACATGATTCATCGCTAAAATCTTTTGAAAGTTTTAAAAAAGATTCTTTTGCAATTCTTTGACCTATTTTTCATAGATGTTAATATTTTTCAAAATTTGCTTAGATTAAGCTGCATTTTCTCAATATTTAAAGTTTTAAGGTTGTTTACCCAAAATACACTTAAAATATTTAGGTCGTATTTTTTTTTCCTAAAAAAAATAAAATGTAATAATATTTAAAAAAAAAAAGAAAGAAAACAAAATATTTTGTTCACAAATCACAATGCCCTTTCCCCTCCACGATAGCATTTCCCCAAGTGATTATGCAAATATCCCATTTTATGCATTTAGTTTTGCATCCTGAACTGGGAGCTGCTGCTATATTTGTTATCACCACAAAAAAGGGAAGAAGAAGAAGAAGAAGAGGCCAAACAAAAGGGTCAATATAGAGAATCTTGGCTAACACCCAGAATCATTCTCAAGATATAAACATATAGTCAACGACAAACTCCTGTCTTAAACATAATTTTCTCCTCGTACATGTTGGAGCTGATAGGTGTTATTTCCTTGTTTCTACTTTAGATTTCTATTTAGAGCTTGTCAAATCTAAAGTTTGGATCTTTGTTTCTAAAATTGGAGTTATATTACTGGGTGAGTTAGACTTCGGAATGGGTTCTGCAAATGGAAACCAAAATGGAGCCCAAGAGAACCTCAGAAAGCAGCTTGCTGTTGCAGTTAAAGGTCTCCAGTGGAGTTATGCCATTTTCTGGTCCATTTCTGATAAACAACCTGGGTAAAGTTTCAACCTTTCGTTCTTGACTCTCACATCCACCAATAAGTATTAACTTAATCCTTCTTTTTTTTTTTTTTTTTTGTTTAT